TCCCGCACAGTCTCTGCGGCGCATTTTTCGTTTTCCGCCGACGAAATACTTTTGGAAATTGTTTCTTGATAAAGTTTTCCTCGCCGAGACGCTGCCGCCGCCGTTTCAACGAACAAGAAAATCCGATAACGACCCTTTACCCCTGGTGCTGCTGCGTGCATGCACCCCTCCAACCACAGTTCTCTCTTCGCACGTGTAATTAAGTTCTAACTTCACATTTCATTTAATCTGCCACCGCCGCTGTTTTCGTTTCACTCGTCTTGCACAAAACTTTTCAGGTCGCGTCTATCTCGTTAACCAATTGATACGTGGCGAGACACTGGAAAATATATAAAACCGTGTACAACATTAACGTATCAGCTTTTCTTATAGAAAACGTACTTATTGTGTGTTCGGTGCCCTATACTTTCGAGATTCGTGAGGAAACGGCTACTAAATACAAAATATTAATTCTTCCCTTCGAGATAACCCGATTTTTAATCATTTTTATTTTTTACCGTGTACAATAAAACATGTTTTCTGTGTATAACTTTTTAAATAAACTTGTATACGTTTGTAGATTTTAACAATTAATGAACAGAGTTAACATACTAGGTTCAAGCTTTATAACTATAGTGGGCGTACTAATATTGCAAATATAATATGATAAAATAAATCGATAAAAATGAACTAAATTCAACACATTTTAACTGAATTTGGAATAACAACACGTCGTATATAATAATAATAAAATGTTCATATTCTCCTATAACATAGACGCTCCATAATATACTCCTTTTGCGGCGTCTATGTGTTTATAAGAAGTTTTAGTTTCTTTCTATGTTAAATGCTTAAATATATTGAATCATTGAAATGGTTAAAAATTGACCACCTTCCTCCATATTCAAAGACGGACTGGGGCGGCGGGACGTGAGTTCGTGGCCTAATACTAAGTTGCTATAAAAAAAACCCTTTTTTTTTGTTAACTCTTCCTGGTCTGCTTAAAAAATGTCCCATATCTGAAATATTGTCCCAGTCCGTCCCTCTCCACATTGGACAGAACACTTGCAAACGAGGTCTATGTCCACCACTCTAACACCGTACACCCCTACACTAATTTATATACGATTCTGAAAGTATGTACACCCATCACACACGATATGTGACTTTGTGCAAGTTTTTCGACGCTTTGTTTCAAGTGTGCGGTAAGTGTAAACTGCTCAATATAATATGTTGCGTACATTACGTAAGCCGCGTTTTGTTTGATCGTGTGATTTATGGTTTTTACAATAAACTTTCATGCATTTTATACAATTTTAAACGCTTCCCTATTTAGTGACACCACGTGCTATCGTCATTATCGTCATTATAATATAATATATTGTTGTCGTATATTATAAACTTGAAATGTGTCTCCTACCTACAGAATATTATTCCGGCGTCGGCGTCGTAGCGAGGAGATTTTAATATAAGAATCGAGCGGAGCTGAAAAGCGCGTTAATCGTTTTCGGTCGCAAAATATAGATATATACATAACATAATATATATACTCGTATATTATGTGTTTTCAATACACCGCGAACGCATTGTTTTGTCCTGGTTAGGGTGCATATAATATACGTGTGAGTACGTGCATATTGTGTATAATATATATAATATTATATACTGTGTGCGTCTTATACGCTTACGGATCTGGGGATGGCGAGGGGGTGTCCTATATATACGAGGAAGGGTGTGGAGCCCGCAGAGTATATAGGTTGAGGCTATGGCGGCAAATATTATACACACACACACACACACACACACACACACACACACACACACACACACACATAATATATTATATAATCTTATAATAATAATATAATATAAAACGATAATGCACGGCGAAACAAAATTCTCCTCTCTTGTTATGTCGTCGACGACGACGACGACGACGACGAAAATAAACAGAGCTCGTTCGGTGTTTTCCATTGCCGCCGCCCGCTGCAGCGTGTACATAATACGCGCGCGCCTTCGTCGTGTGTAATTAATCACTCGCTCGGGCGACACTTCTTTATACCAACTATATATGTATATACGCCGCCACCATCATCCTGCTACAGCACCATCACGCAACCACAGACGCCGCCGCCGCCGTTAAAGATGATATTATAACCTTTTTTTTTTTTTTACAATTTATATTATAATATTATATAAAATGTTTGAAAAAAATAAATCGATATTTTTGAGGGTTCGTTAAAATATTATCTATCGTCGCGTGGATAATTTATGGCCGACCCGTGTGTATATGCGATATTATAATAATATTATTATGTACACCTATATATTATATAAGCGCTCGTTTTTAAGGACTTTGAAGTAGTCGAGTTTCACGCATCGTCCAAGAGCGCATAACAATCAGTACGGTATAGCGGTAGGTTGTAGGTACCTGCCCCTGACCCCCCAAAGTGTAAAATATCACAGATCATAATAATTATGTATTTGGCTGCATTGTTTAAACTAATTGCTGCAGCAATGTGTGGAGCTAAGCAATGTGTAAACATTTTAGCTCCCATGTAGTGATTTAACATGGAAAAAAAAAAAGTTCTCCCCTAACTGCATAATAATATTATATTATTAACAAAAAAAAAATTCACTGTTATCGTATGAAATGCCGAAATGGACACAACACTCGTCAACAGCTCATATTATTATGTGTAGGTTATACTGTTTATGTGCTTATTTTGTGGGCTGTAATGTAAGTATATAATATGTGCTTTAATACGCTTACGAATAATTACCCGTGAAAAGTGTATAATAAGTGTATAGTATTATGTTAAATAAGGATTTTATACGATAATTTATTTATAGTTTTGTTAATCATGTCGTAAAAGGCAGCTGTGATACAATGCAACACTCCAAGTTTAACCTATGTATTATATTTTTTAAACAATAAAACATATCCAACTAATTATTAATATATAATTTCGCTCTATATAGGTATCTATATAATTACCTATACCCAGGGAATTCAATGATCGGAATATAACATATTAATAAAAACTTTTTCAACGTTCGTATCCTATAGGTAGATGAAAATTATTTAATGTAAATATCGTTTAATAAAACGACCATAATATACATATATATCTAATATATCATATTTTTTGCATTTTTTTCTCTAAATATAATAATGAAATTCCATCATTTCACTATCCGAATAAATTATTACCATTGATCGCTATAAAAAAAAGGCGTGAGTATATTATTTTATCACTGAGTCAGCGATGTTCTTGGAAAATATTTCAAAGCTATCAAAAAATATGTAATAAAATATACTAAAATATAACATTATGTGTTATTTTATTTGAATTAAAATATAGAATATATTAATAAGTTGAATATTATTTTAGAATATAATTGATCCCACACAATATAAAACATAACGCACAGTAAACACATAATATAATATGTTACGTGTTTTGTAATGCATAATACATTTTCGATTATGTAATTTATACTATGATATATATTTTGATATGCATAGTAATTTAATTTATGGTATTATTATGTTTACCATATTATATATATGAAAATAAAATATTATATATTATTATTATAAAAGCACTACAACGGAAATCTCATTAAAAAACTGTCTCTTGCACGGATGCAATGAATATACTATATATAAATATATAATATATATATATATATATAGGTAGTTTAACAAATCAACTTGACTCCTGGAAAAAATGACATTTTATTCAGGTGAATATACTTCGTGCACAGCAGACTAATGCGCGTATTATGTACCTTACACGCGATGCGTAATATAATATACGAAAGACATTTATACATATTTATTATACAGTGAGATATGATTTATATCCTCTTTAGTGGTTTCTGCAGGCCACACAATAGACCAAGATCACTTCGAGAACCAGCACAATTTTATTGTCGACCATTTTAACAAGTTTTGTTAGCTCACATCCGTCGCATTTAGCACAATTCGACACGATCAAGGAGCGCGTGGACGTTATAATAATATATTCGCAAAACCACCTATATATATACTATAGTTCCTCCGTGAAATGAGGGGACCATAAATAAATTGAGGCTGTCCGATGATATGCGCACTGCAGCGTACATATTAATATCTAATACACCGAAAAAAAAATCACAATCATATTGATAAAAAACTATGTTAGATTGACAATAATCTTGTTAATATAGAGCCAACAAGATTTTTGTATCAATTTAACAATACTATTGTTGCACCTTCTGATAATGTCAAATCAATCAATAAGCATTGTTGATTTGACAATTGTCTTGTCAATATAGAACCAACAAGATTTTTTTATCAATATGACAATACCTGTTTCAACTACTGAAATTGTTGAATCAATCAATAAAAATGATTGCTTTGACAATTAGTATAATTAATTGTATAAATCATGATTGTTACCATAATTCAAAACATTGTTGGATTATTATTATTGAATCAACAATAATATTATATATTGCTGTTTTTAGAATTCTAAAAATAGTTGTTCAAATAGTTGTTTTACTTATTAGTTATTGTTAATAATTAGGAATTAGGATTAAATTGTGTTACATTTTAATTGTATTTCACACCATTATTTTAATTTAAAATATATACCTACTAACACTATTTAGTGCATTGTATATAAACAATAAATATTGGCCTAAGTGCATTGAGTACAACACTATTAAGCATGTTACAAGGAATTATAATTATTTAAAGTTTAATGCTTTTCCCCACCTTAATATAATTAATAATATTACATATTATTATGTACATTGAACACTGTATGGTATATATTATATTGTATAAAAATAAAACCATTTAAAGAATAATACATTACTCTAAAGTGACTTGAATAATAATTGCTTGTACATGCTTTAGCTTTAAATTAACAGGAATAAGGTAAAATCAAAAACAAGATTAAATTTGCTGAATTAAAAAATTGTGTATTTGAAATTATTTGTACAGTTAAAAAAGTTAAAAATTCATATTATTAATTGTTTAAATCTGACATTATTTGTCCAAGAGTGTGGCATGGAACATCAAACTTAGTATTGATGGAAAAAAAAAATTTTTGAATAAACAACCAAACTAAAACTGACTGTGGTGGATATTCTAAATTAAATAGATGAAACAATTTAAATGTTACATCTATGGCATGTAAAATGGAAAAAACTTTATATTTTATAGAGTCAAAATATACAATAATTTCTTGTGGGTTCATAGGAGTAGGTACCAACTACCATAATAAAAGGCTGTATTGGAGATTTTTCGCTACGACGGATATTAATGTATTCTTCTATTTCACAAACTGAGTTTTTAAATACAATGAAGCTATTCTGTGAATCTTTGATTGAATATTTTGTCTGATTTTTTTTGCCTGTGTGATCCCTTGTGACTTTTATCGATGTTGGTATAAAGATTGCATGTAATAAATAAAATATAATCGTGTTCTTCCCATCTGAAATATTTAAATTTATTTTTAACATAAAAATAATATAATTATATTTTAAATTGTACAGTACAAAATTTATAGTGATAGTATAATTACCATCTATCTAGTCACTACAAAATAAGATTAAAGTAGTTTTACTACAATTTACTAAAATGTATTAAGTATTTAATGGTTACACAACCACAACAATATATGATATACATACTTTATTTATATCAATTGCAAAATGTATGTAGCTGGGTAAATTAATAATAGATAAAATAAATTGTAATTACAATTTTTTAATCTTATTAATTTATAGAGACTAGATTGTACCTATATATAGGGTATAACAATGTTATTGTCTGTTATTAATTTTATCAATTATATTTATATGCTATTTAGTATTCATTAAATTAATACTTAAGTCCTAAATCATTATTCTATAGCCACTATTAGCACTACATTTTCTATAAAAATAAAATTGTTTATACTTTGGCTTATATCTGCAGTTGGCTCGTTCAAACTTTCAAATAACCGTCGGCTTAAAGTGTCCTTTATTTTTTCATCCAATAAGTTTATGATTTTTTCTGATTTTTCTTCAAACGTAGAAATTAGATTAGAGCAACTGGGATACATTGTGTTAAAATCTATGTCAACCTGAAAATATTATTTTAATTGTTAAGTTATAAATAATGTAGACCTATAGCAAATTACTATATTTAATATTTTTAAATTAAAATAAAGTAAAAATTACTAGTCTGTATCCTAAAGGTAATTTATAGTTGCTCCAGTTGTTAAGTATATCATGAGTAGAGGTTGAAGTTTGAATACTTTTTAAACGGAACTGTGTTGTTGCTTTCCAGTTATATTCTAAGTCAGGGAAAGAACAATTATTATCGTGTTTAATTTGTTCAAGAATATACTGTACATCATTTTCTGGTTCTGCAACATACCAATTCAATAAAGATAAGTATCATAATTTTAACAATTTTAAATAATTTTAACAATTATTTTTTAAATATTAAATCTGAATAACATACCAAAATGTAAATCGTGTTTGCGATTAATTGGATTGGTTGGTCGTTTTGTATGATTGCTAGAGGGTATTAGACCACTGTTTTTCAAAGTTCGCATAGAGTTGTAATATTTAGCATACAGCTTACCCTTTGGATTTTTGTTTGTATCATATTTTAAAAAATATGAATCCTAAAAAGTTAGAAAAAATGATTAAAATAGAATAAATATAATAATAAATAAAAATACTAACTTTTACTTCTGTTGGAAATATATCAGCAATTTGATCAGCAATACTATTAGCGAGGGCAACAGACATGGATATTTTCTTAGTTATGACATAATTGATAATAGTATCGACCAACAATGTTCTTATATTGTCATTAAATTTGTGATTTGTCTTATAATAGTCATTGATCATTAATCCAGTTGAGCACTCATTTAAAATTTCTCCAAGATTTATAGATATGGCTGAAGAAAGTTTTTCTTGAGAAAGTTTTTTGTCCAAAGTAGTTGGAAGCAGTGATGTCATAGAAGATGATTTTTTTGAATTTTGCCACTTTTCTAAGTTATTAGAAAATAATATTTTAATGCCAAGTGGGTAATTTTTCAAAAGTTCATTAGTGTGATAGTCAACTTTCATAATTGCCAAAATTTTCAAGTCAATTAGTTCATCTGAAATAAGTTAAGTTAATGTAAGCAAACTTGTTTTATAATTGTGATTGGAATCGCAATATAAGTGAATTATTATATTACCAAGTAAAGTTTGATAAGTACATTCCAAATTCCACTCTTTTAGTAAATCGTGCAAAGGTTGTAAGTCTTCAACTGGATATACGTAACCTTGCAGAAATGGCATAACTATTGTTGAAGACTGTAAATTAAAAATGTTATTAAGGGATTAGTTAAAAGCTGGATAATAATTTATTTTAAAATGGCTATTTTTTAAGACAAGTCACAAGTGTTTATAAAATTATTTTGTAAGTGGATATATTATAATACTTGCAGCATTATCAGTATTAATAAAAGCATCAACACAATTCAAATCATCAGAACAATTCATATCGCCAGCAGAGTTCAAAGCATCAACACAATTTGATTCAACAGCATAATGTGAATTTATATATGTTTCTGTTGGTCCATCCATTATTATTTTACTTGAAATTATACTGTAATCTAATAAATGCTAAAATACTAATTAAAGATTTAAAAAAAATAATATATACAAATATGAAAATAACGTTATTATATACATAGAATTACGGTTGAAAAATATAAATTATTAAAAAAATTCTTTTAGACGGATCATTAATCTGCCTGATGAAGTTGGTGTAATGTTAATAGGGGGTCCACTGAATTCTTCTATTTTAAAAATCAAACAATTATTTACAATGGTTCTGTCTTTATCAACTTCGAATGATTCAAGATGTGAATTAAAGTTTTCTATTTTAATCTGTTTAACTAGTACATAGATTATTAAAATGGGATTATCAATAACCACTAATTCTAATATCTCAAATAAATTAATTTCTTCAATAAATGTTGTTAAATAATATCCTCTTTTGTAAACTGTCCCCATGAACTCTATTTGATTGTAACAAGAAAAAAAAGATGTGCCATTTGTGGTAAGAGAAATTTTGGTAAGTATAGTATTTGAATATAAGCTGCTTATACAATGTTTTTGTTTCAATACAGTGTGCAGAGTATTAATAGGTTGTAGTAAAATGTAAGCAAATTTATATTGAAATTTTTTTGCTAATGTCAAAGTAATATTTTTCCGTGATGATGTGGTACGTGCATAAGCTTTAAGTTCCTTGTGTTTCCCTTCAAAGCGAAAGCACCAATAATGTCTTGGAGGTCCTGCATGTCGAATAATATTGGGATAATGCGTTAAGAAATGATGCTTAGGTTTTAATGTATCATTAAATAGCTTTATATACATAGAGTTATGCTGATGTATTAGTTGTTTAAGATATTCAATTTTGCTTTCAGTAAACTTGTATGATAGAAGCATATCAATTATCTTAACAAGTGTTAAATAAAATTTCCAAACTTCATCATTTTCAGGAATAAATTCTCCAACCATGATAGAAAAAAAGTGAACAAATGTCATCATTTCTCTAGCTGACATCTTTAAATGGCATTTGTTTAAATGTTGTTCAGTAATTTCAGGAGATATATTACCAACTTCAATTGGTCCATAATTAAAATTAGTTTTTTGTTTATTTAAAGTGTACAAAGAAATAATCTGTGCCGTGTTAGTATAATATTTAATAATGTGACACATATCATAATGACATATGCCTTCAAAGATATCGTGCATAATATCTACACAATAATTTTCTACGACATGGAAATGTTCAATACAGTTTAAAATTGAGTTTTTATAAATTCCAGTCTCACTGAAATTCATTTGGGCTACATCTTCTAAGTAGTTATTAGTATTACGCATAGATGAGCCATCTTCTTCACAAAGCTTATTTGCAATATTTTTATGAGTCTTACAAAACCGGCAATAATAATTGGAAGAAAATGACTTACTGAATTCAAGTATACTGTTGAGCCCCAAGTTGTCCCCCAAAATTAATCCAAGAATAAAATAAACTTTAAAGTCACCAAGTTCTGTTGTAATAATTATTCCTTCATTAGCAAGATAATTAATTTCATCAATTATTTGCAATAAACATGGATCATTTCCGAATTCTTTAAAATCAGCTGATTTAATTAATGCAGCTAGAAATATATTTGATAGCTTAGAATTATTTTCAATAAGAGGAAAACTATAGTAAATGGCTGCAATAGATTGATACGTCGCATGAGATCCTAATGGATTATTTATCTCAAAATCATCAATGTACAAAAAGTATGGAAAAACTATTTTTCCTTCATATTGAGATGTTTTTTGTTTCCATAAATTTCCTTGTACAAAATTTGAGAAAGATGTTTTGTCAGTTTGGAAATTAACTAGCCTATCATAACTTGTTTTGAAATTGTTACCATGTTCGAAAAATTGTTTAAATTGGAATTGTAATGGTAAGAGAGCCCCTTTAGTTACTTTTTCGTTATAACAAATCTCACCACTATAAGAAACAGGACACATTTGATTATTAATAGTTATCTGTTGGACTTTGCATAACAAGTTATTGCTTATAAGCCAATTATTTAAGTGATACTCTGTACTGCAATAACTAAATGGATCTAGTATTAATCCCTCAAGCCTATTAAAAGTAGAAACTAATATAGGTTCTGAAATATTAATTTTGACCATACTTTTAAGAATGGAGGCTATAGGTTTCAAAATATTTTCTGTCATCCCAGACTGAATATAAAGTACATCACTATTATTGAAATTGTTATTATTGTATAAGCTAACAATAAATTTTAAAGTTGATTCATACAATTCTTTTGCAGATTTTCCAAAGTTAAATGTATCTTTAAGTTCATCATAATTATTAATACTATCTGTAGTAGAATACTCTATACTCGGGGCCGTATTAAATATTTCTTGTACACAGTTACCACTTTGTAGACTGGTAGAAGTACAAGGAGATGTTGTAGAAATAACAGCTACATGCTTCTTATTGACATGCCTTTTAAATGATGACAAGCAATTAAATGATTGTGAACAAGCATTTTCCAAACATGTATAAGAACTATCAGGCTTAAGTAAATGAATTAATTTATAATGTACAACTAAAGCTTTCAATTCACCAACAACATCACATTTGCAAATATAACATATCATAATGGATACTTACCTGATTGACAGAAATTAGAAGTTAGTCGCAAACTCGCAACTGCCACAGTGCCACAAATGCAATATTTTCAACACACTGAATCCACGAGGAACTATAGGTAAACCTATTCAAACTGCAGTTATTTAACTTAAAATTCGGTACCGCCACTCGGGAAGTCAAAAGACAAAAGCACAAATCAAATGTCAAAACACTCAAAACAGTAAAACACGTTACGAGTGGTCACTGGGTAATGGACATGGGTTGTAACTTGTAGAAAGTTTATGAGGTTATGAGCTTCATTTTCATTTTAATAATAATGATTATCAAATCAATAATATATTATATTGTTTTTACAAGATATCTTGTTATTCACACAAGATATTATCCAAATGACAATATTGATATTGTCAAACATCAACAATGCCATATTGTTAATACAACCTATGTTATTTTTTGGATAAAATAGCTATTGTTGATTCAATAATAATATTATTAATCATTTTTGCGCCAATCATGATAATTATCATATTGACAATATATTACATTGTTTTTACAAAATATCTTGTTATTCACACAATTTATTATCCAGGTGACAAGATTAACATTGTTAAACTTCGACAATATCATATTATTAATATTACAAATGATATTTTTTTCGGTGTATAAAGTACACCAGTATATTATATACCTACGCATATTTTGACCGTACAACATAATATAATATACAATATGAACAAATTATCCTGTTTTATAACGAAAAAAAGAGTATATAATATATTATAAACATTTAAAACCAATGTAGAAATAATGTTATCAATACCTACGCTCTATACGTATATATAGAGGATATACGATTTTGAGTGACGAGTGATGTATCCATAGATATAGAAGTATTATATTTATTATTATATAATATATTCTATATGAAATTTAAAAATCATTAAAATGTCCAGTAATATTATTTACCGTCTTATACCGAAAAACATTTACTAGGTATTTACTGTAAAATTTGATATTTTTGGTAATGTAGACACATGACGTGAGCTCGCAAAATTAGGGTTTATATATTATGTATTCGATATTTCTATGCTTCGATACTTCTGCAAGTATTTGATTATTTTGTCGGTACCTTGAAGTTGACGTTGAGATTCGACGGACTCTAATAACAATAATTATTTTTAAGGATTTCTAACTGCTCGCCGTCTTAACCTGGTAGATAATCATTACAAAGTTTGACGTCCGATCCATCGTAATCACGTTAAGACGTCTTATTACACAGTATTACATATTTTATTCATTTTTGACAAAAATAATACATTTATTATATTATTATTATGTAGATTAAAAATTAATACTGACTTACCTACCGTAAAACGGTGTAAATATGATAGTGAAATAAGAAACTAAAATCGAATATATTCTGTGTCCTAGAATATATTATTTCCAATTCCTCATATTTTAATATCTTATACTTAACTATCGAAACGTATATGTAAGTACTATCGAAATAATAATCTATTTGAATTTCAGAACAAATTACAATTGATATTTTTTATTACTTGGGATGGTAATTTAGAATAAAAATATTATTCTTCAGACAAATTATAAGGTAGGTATATTTTCTATATAAATGACAATATAAAAACATTTTTGCAATATCAAACCACTTGAAAATTTAGATAATTCAAGGTTTTCATAAGGTGTCCTTACAGTAATTAAAAAATTAAAAATATACATAGTTATGCTGGTATGCACAATTTTAGGTACCACTGTACTAGCTATTATTACAATTTTAGTTATTTTATTTTTATTTAAAAAATATTAACTGTAGAAACAATTGAAACTTTTTCACATTATGTATATTATTATTTTCTATGTACAGTTTCCAAAATATTTTAACTTATTTCAAACTATATACCACTTACCTACCCATATTATCGCCCCGTGATTATTATACCAAGCCTAATTAATCCGATTTTTTTATATTAATAAAGTTCAACCTACCGCATTACTCATATCAAAATAAATAACAAATAGCATAATAAATAATAATAAATAAAAGTAGGTATCTTTAGAAATAAACGCTGACACGACATTTCCTCTCAGAATCATCTTTAGCATT